GCTTTCTGATTTCTGGGAAGTATCTTGGAATAAATGGTACAGTGGGTACCGTCTCAAATGCTGAGCAGCTGATGTAGGTTATGAGATGGCCAGACAGGACATGTTTCTAAATGTCTGTTTTGACAGATGCAAAAGTTTACTATGATGTAGATGCAGTAAGATAACTTGTTTCTTCAGTTTACAAGAAATAAAGCAGAAAATTATCATTATAGATAAATTGAACACACTTGATCCCTCCAAAATCTCGGAGTGCTTTCTGATTTCTGGGAAGTATCTTGGAATAAATGGTACAGTGGGTACCGTCTCAAATGCCGAGCAGCTGATGTAGGTTATGAGATGGCCAGACAGGACATGTTTCTAAATGTCTGTTTTGACAGATGCAAAAGTTTACTATGATGTAGATGCAGTAAGATAACTTGTTTCTTCAGTTTACAAGAAATAAAGCAGAAAATTATCATTATAGATAAAATGTCGTTCAGTCTGAGCATGAGAAATGGATGGTACCTGCATCAGAGCTGTAACCTGCGTTTTAAAATTGGCTCATTAGTAATGCCATAAATGGAATAAAATCTTTTGGAGTGAGTTCCCTGCCAAATGGGTGATGGTAGGTCTCACCCTAATGGTTTTACAGTCTGTCTGTGTGTCACTTAGCTCAGCAGAGTGGTTTTGACTGGGGTGGCTTGGTGCTCCTGCAGCACAAATATGAAATAGAAATTCCTTTTTGCTTGTTCCCCCTCATGAAGGGAGGTCTCTGGGTCTGGTTATTGAGCGTTGACTCCAATGGATGTGCTCCAAATGATGCAGAGCATTAGCAATGGAGATTAGTTTATCCCCTCCTGCAGTTAAGGAGTAAGAAATGTTTTTTACAATTAAAATGTTTATCTTAAAAAGGTGGTCTGCAGTAGAGGCTGCCTCTCTCAGCGCTGCTATAAGTGGCTTTTGATTTATTCCCTGCAGAGTGTGAGTGCTGTGCCCATTTAGACACAATATTAATTGCAGTGTTGGATTGAAGTGGTTTTTTTAATTTTTTACTACTTGCTTGTGCCTCAGTGAATCCTGCAGGTCGGTTCAGAGCAGGGCTTTGGGTGATGCTGTGCCAGGCTGGGCTGTCTGTGGGGCACAGTTAACAAACTGTGGCACGTGTCACATCAATTTGCACATTTGGCTTGAGCTGTGCCAAAAACTCACGCTTTTATGGGGGTACTTTCTATTTGGGTTTGTCACTTGGTAACACTGTGACCTCCTGGAATGTCACCGAGCTTTGCTCATGTGTGAGGCTTAATGCAAGTCAGGGTGTACAAAGCCAGAAGGAATTTTCAAAAATTATTTTGGCCTTTGCCCGCTCACTCTGAGTAACCTGGGAGGCTGCGGTGATGTCTTCCCTGGGAACTCCTCGGAGGCAGATGTCCCATCTCCTCAGGGTGGGACATGCTTCTCCTCCTCCCTTCCCAGCCACATCTTCCTCCTCTGGTGAGGTTCTCCTCCTGCCCAAATGCCTGAGCATCTTACACCTGAGGTGCCCTCCCCAGCACTGCACCCAAACTACTGAAGCTTTAGCAAACCCCTGCGAGAGTTTCTTCTCTGGTAATAAATTCCACCTGCTCAAACTCAACAAACTCCTTTTTGTTCCCTTTGGGAAGGGAAGGGGAACGGGGCGAGGAGTTCTGTTGAGCTGCACTAACATGTTATGCAGAGTCTGGCAGGCAGAGACCTGGAGAAGTCGATGATTTTAGTGAAATACAGGCACCAAAATAGGTTGGAAATTCTCTGGTTTAGGTGATAGTGGAAATCCATCCCGCTGGCACTAATTGATGCTTTCTCAGAGAGCCTATCTCCATGGGAGAGGCCAAATTGTCCTTTAGCACACCAAATACTTTTTTTTTTTCTCACTTTGAGTGTAAAAAATGAGTACAGAAATCTGGAGAAAACAAAAAAGAAATGTGGAGTGTGGTTTTGGTACGTTACTGTTGTTGTGGTTTGTTCACAGCTTGCAGTTGCAAACAACAGGATTATTACACTGCAAGAAGAGATGGAACGGGTTAAAGAAGAAAGTTCTTACATCCTAGAGTCCAATCGGAAGGTGGGTGGGTGTGTGTGGGGGTGTGTGTGTGAGGGTGTGTGGGTGTGAGTGACCACTGAACCTTCAGGCAGTCCCAGCCCCAATCCCACCAAAAAGTAGCTGTTTGGAAGAGACTTTTATTTCCTTGCTGTTGGGAGGGAGGATTTACTGAGGGGGTGGCACAAACATTTGGACGTAGGAGTTCTGCTTTTTCAGCCTGAAATGCTGGCCTTTTTGGAAATCAAAGGGCAGGATCTACATGTTTTTGGTTGATTTGGTTGGACTAGATGACCTTCAATGGTTCCATCCAACCCAACGCATTCTATGATTTATTGAAAGTGCTGGTGACTATGGCAGAATCTAGTTTTTAGTTCTAAAGATCCTTTCCTGAGGATTTGTAACTATACTTACAATATTGTCAAAAAGTCCTGAAAATGCAGAGTTTGTGCCTTTAGCTCGTATCCGTAGAAGTGGAGTGGGGAGCAGGGAGACGGAGCTGTTTCACAGGCTGCAGTCACTGCATGGAGCTCTGAGTTTCGATAGTCACAGAATTTGTTTTCAAAGTGGTGGGAAAAGCAAATAACGGGCAAATGTGAGGGTTAGTAGTATATACTGATGGGTTAATTAAGTGTCTTCATTACCTCAGGCCACCAAAGACAGAACTGCTGATGGACAGGCACTGACCGAGGCGCGGAAACAGTTGAAGGAGGAGACTCAGCTGCGGCTGGTAAGGGCTGTCTGAGCTCAGAGCTCACCACAACTGGCTTTTTGGTGTCATAACTCCATATCAGAAAATCGCTTTTTAAAACATTTGCCCAGGGAAATGAAATGTTTTTAGGGAATAAAAAGTCTGCCAGCTTTTCCCTATCCCCCCCCATCAGATAGATGGGCCTATATTGTACTTTCTGCTGTTTATGTTGCTGGAATATTGGATGGAAAATGGGGATTTGTTGTCTTTAATCACCTTTGATGGGTCAGATCCTTCGCTGCGGCTGTGCAGCGTGGCTCTAGGTGGTGGTTGTCCTGGGGAGGGTGAGGAAAGCTGGCTGGTAACGCCGGCCCATCCGGGTGTTCCAGGACGTGGAGAAGGAGCTGGAGGTGCAGATCGGGATGCGACAGGAGATGGAGCTGGCCATGAAGATGCTGGAGAAAGATGTTTGCGAGAAGCAAGACGCGCTGGTGGCGCTCAGGCAGCAGCTGGATGATCTCAGGGCCCTAAAGCATGAACTGTCTTTCAAGCTGCAGGTAGGGAAGAATTCCATGAAATGTGGTGAATTCCAGGTAGAAGCAATA